GAGAGAGAGAGAGAACCAGTCATTTTCCACTTTACATAAGGAGGAAACCTTCACTTTATGGAACAGCATAAGCAATCTATTTTCTATGTGCATCAATGGAAACTATAGAATATAAATGTAAACTCAGTTTGAATATGATTATAAAGTTGAGGGTTGGAGGTATGCTACCCCATACTTTATGAGTAGCATCCCACTTCTCTCATCTTCCTATGACTACGACACTTTTCGAATGCCCACTTCCAAATTCCAAAATTTGTAAACATTCAATGAATCTTTATAATATTCAACACATCCCACCTTAACTTGATTCTTTTTTCTCTCTCTTTTTTTAGCCTTGACTTAAATTCATCCAAAACTAAACTTTTTGAGGTAATTATCCAAGATTGAAAACAAGGTTTGTAACTTTTTCCTTATGAAATTCCATTCTATGAATTGCATGAAGCGCCCGAAATCTTAGAAAATTCACCGAATTCACCCCGAAAATTCTATGCTTTGACCAAAACGTATTTTTTGGGGATTGACAAAATAAGAACTGGAAATATTCCAAAGTTGAATATTGAACTTAAAATTTCACAATTAACAGTGAATTTGTCTAAAGTAAAAAGGAACGGAGTACAAAAGACAACAACACCAAATCTCACTATCATGACCGGGTCAGATATGCCATGTGGAACACCGATCATGTTTTAGCTGATCTAGCCTAAAGTGTGAAATTGAATATAGTTGTTTAACAAGTTTTGGAAGAAGAATGGGACCGATCTGACAAAATAAATTGGATAATTTTTTTTATAATATATTTTATATTTTTTAACTATTATTAGTATTTCTCTTGACACTTTTTTTTTAAAACCTCATCAAACTGAACCAACTAGATATTTGATTGGTATAGTAACATGCCATGAAAGCTAGGTGAGTACAAATTGCACAAATTTTGCCCTAAAATTGCGGTGAGTAACCACCAATTTTTCAACATAAATTCGTCAATTATTGGTAAATAAGGGATTTCATAGCTTTCTAAGCCAATTAAATCGTGTAAACACGCCGAGACATTCGCCGATATTTCACCGCCTCCACGTCACCGCGTATGTGGATCCGCACGTGCTACAGGCCGCCCACAGCAACGGGACCGGCCTCCTCTTCAATCGATGCCGTCCATCCAACGGACGCGTCGAGCGCAGATTCTCACAAGTGTGGACCCCCTCTCGAGCACGTGCGAATACAGATTTGATTAATAGGACTTCCTCTGACGCGTTCTCGACCCTCCTCTCTCCGGAATTTGTTTCTCTCTCTAAGGATTCCACCCCCTCCTCAATTATTGCCACCTGTCGACGTCGGAGTCGGCAGGAGAGGTAGCGCACGGCATGACACGTGGATCATCCTGCGGGCCCAACCGGGACGGACGCATTAATTTTTTCGGGCCCGGGCCTCGTGCCACATGGCACACCTGTCGGCCGAGGCCCCGCTTGTTTCACGTGCCGGAGATGCAATGCCAACGTACTTTCACACGTTAAAATGCCCTTTGCGATGCCACCTCCGCCCAATGGGAACCCGACACGCGTCAGGAGTGGCCCCGGTGCCCTCTGGGTTTCGCTCAGGCCGTGAGAGCTACTGTTATGCGCCAAAACAAAAAGGAAACAAGGGTATTTCGGTCATTTCCTTATGTTGAGAAACAGGGTTATTATCGTCATTTTTCAGTGTTTCTCAGGGGACAAGGGCACTTTAGCCATTTTCGAGCCCGTAAACAGGCATTATCGTCACTTGATTTCTTTTGTAGGGAATAGGGGCATTTTCGTCATTTTCCCATCACCCACACAAATTAGACACATTTTGGACACTTTGCAATTAATTCACAGCATTTCACATGAACACGGACGGTTCCGTCGTTTTCTGCAGTTAAAAAGGGACGAGGGCAGTTTAGTCAATTTTAAGTACCTCACTTAGAGCAGGGCCGTTTTCGTCATTTTCAAGCATAAAAAAGGAGCACGGGTCTCTCCGTCTTTTTCCTGCGATTATGGATAGAGGGGCTGTTCGGTCATTTTCAGTGCGCAAGAAGCAGGGTCGTTCTTGTAATATCTAGAAATATACGGGGGTTAGACGCGCCATTTTGAGAAAATTCAGGTAACCAATCAGAAAGGGCCTCGTTTTTATTTCAAAATGACATAAAATCTAAAATTCACCGCTTTTAAAAATTTTCCCACTTTTTTGTTGCTATTTTTAGCAGTGTTTTCTGGAGCTATAAGTTTCATTTCCAATTCCGCTTCCATTCATTACACATTTTGTTATTGCCCTTTTTATCCGAAAATAGTACTTTTTCTGCCTCGAATTTATTACCGAACTACCCTCGCCCATTAATTGTTATTTTATATTCTGTTAATGGAGGGAGGGAAAATCCTCACTGGAAGAATCTTTGGGCTCACGAGGTTCCTTTTGGCCTTCTATATAATCGTACGAAATTTCCCCTAGTTTACTTGATATATCCACATTGCCCCTATTGCTTTTTAAGACGGTTCATTCCAAAAATGGCCCTGGTGCCACAGGATAATATACAAGAACAGCCAATGCCTTCAAAGAAGTGTTACAAGACATGCCTTACAAGGTTGAAATTTGGAACCTGATAATCAAATTTATGGTTTCCTATGTTTGAGGATTTGATCTGGTCGTATTTATAGACGTGCCATTAGATTTACTGAAACTATCAAAGGTGCCCCCTTGAGATACTGGACAATTCTAAACATTAACAATGGCTTCAAGTTCTAGCTAGGTGTTAAACAAGGTCGTTTTTCTTCCTTTTTGACAAGAAAAAAGAGGTGCTTAAAAAACAGAGAGATTTTTTTTCATTTTTTTGAATCAACGGCGAACAGGCAATAACACTCGCTATAACTAGGAACACCATCTAGATTACATGATACTTTCATCGACGATGTCTTTTGTCGGTGCAACATCCAGGGTTCGAATCCTTACCATTGACCTTGCCAGAAAAGGAATAGCATGGCAAAGTGTATGTTATGCGCGCGAGGGCAAGTGTTTTTGTGCTGGCTCTAATGAATGTTCAGCAATTAACAAGTGTCGGAGGGCGTATACAACTTTGTGCTCTAATATTGGTCATTCGACGCTTGTGCATTCTGAATGCTCGCGAATCTCTGAAATGAGAACATATGTTTTCTTGATGGATGTTAAGCATACAGCGAGTAATTCGTAAAACCATAAATGTGTCATAACTTCTCTTTGGAATGTCCATATATTTGTCTGACTCGAATAATTCCACAATCATTTTGTCGGAACCACGACAAATGAAGATAATTCGATGATGATTAAGCTAAAATTAGTTCATTCTTTCTGCCTGAATTTGCCAACATTTGTTCACTAGGCAATCCACTTAATCATTCTCAAGATACGATTTGAAAAGAGACCATTGTGAAATTAAAAGGTACATACACAACAACAAATCTATTAGAGCAGGGTATTTTGGATATTAATACAGGAAAAGACTAACTGAATTAATAGGTGCCCATGATAAAATAGCAAGTGCTTTTCCATGCAACATTTTCCAAAATATTTCATAACTTGGTTCCTTACACTCTAGAAGTCCATTTAATGTCGTGCAAGGACCATGATAACTATTTTGGTCCCAATTTTTTTGGATTACACTAATCAGACATACATGCCTTTTGTTAATTACTCAAAGTACACAAGCATTTCAATTCATTTCATTGTACTCCCTAGAGTACATTTTTGCTTTTCCTATGTAGCAGGAGATTTGAACCCATTTGTGGTACAGGGATTAAACGGATATTAATGAAGCAGTTCCCCATTAAATGGGAACTCAAATATGGGCATTTCGATATAAGAGGGGAAAGAGGGCAGCGACTTAGGAAAATGGCAGCTTCGATATTAACCCCAGCAATGATGAGTTGACGGCAAGAAAGTTCGGAGCAAGGACAAGAGCGTCTCGGAAATAGGCAAAATGCTAGGGGTAAAATTGTACAGTTAATTATAACCCTACTGGTTAAACCCCGTTCTGTTCAAATTTTCGCCATTTTTTTTGGCTCCTTTTTATAGTTTTTTTCATGTTGATATCTGGTTTGAAAAAATCAAATTTAACCAGAGAGAGACTCTCTCTCTCTCTTCTTGTGTCCGGTGAATAAAAGGTTGTATGCATAAACCTTTTTTTACAGGAATCTGAATTTATTTTTTCTTGTTTTTGTGGATTAAGGCCCCGTTGAAGAAGCTGTGGCCTGCCTTTGTTCTCTCAAGATCTCTCGAACCAGAGCTCTCTCTTTTGTCGCGCTTCTCTCTCTCTACTATCTTGTCGAGCTTCTCTCACTCTACTCTCTTGTCGAGCTTCTTTCTCTCTCTCCCTCTCTCTTGACAAGCATCTCTCCCTTGGTAGATTTCTATCTCTCTTATGAACGGGGCTCAAGCTTTGAGCCGCCTCTCTAATGGCTGCCGCCTCTTCCCTTAACAACCGATCTTGCGGCCCTTGCGGAAGGTCAGTGAGCTCTTCCAGCGAGCTTTCTGCTGGAGACTCTCTCTGAGGTCGCCAGTATCTGCCGTTTTGTCGTCGTAAAATGCTGTACTTGAAGCAGCCGGCCTCTGGTGCGGAAGCATGAGCCTAGATGTGAAGGCGTCCTGTGCCTGAGGCACGGGGATCCCGTCTCCATGTCTTCAGAGAACGAAGCTCAGGTCCGGATCTTGGAGCCAGAGGCTTGGATTGAAGGCCCAGAGGCCTTGATAGCTGAGCCGGAGGCTCGGATTTTGGAAAGAGAAGCCTCGATAGCTGAACCAGAAGCTCCAGTTTGGGAGCCAAGTGTTTGGATTGAGATAGAAGCCTCGATAGATGGACTAGAGGGACGGATTGAGGTGATGGAGGCACGCGTAGAGGGTTTGGATGCTCAGATTGAGGGTCCAGAGCCCTCGACCGCTGAGCCTGAGGTTGGAATTGAGGGGTTGGATCCTCGGGTTAAGGAGCTAGAGACTGGGAATGAGGATTTGGAGGCTCGGAATGGGGAGTCGGAGGCTCTGATTGATGAACCAGAGTCTCGGGCTGAGGATTTAGAGGCTCAGATTGAAGGGGAACAGTCCCCGCCTGAGGATTCAGATGCTTCGAATGAGTATCCAGAGGCTCGGGTTGAGAGGACTGAGGCTCAGATAGGGAAACAGGAATCATGGAGTGGAGAGGCAGAACCTCAGATCGAGGGGAGGGACAGAAAGTTTTGTTATTTGCAAAAATTCACGCTTTACGAGACTCGATCAGTAAGATCCTTTTAACTATTATATTTTCTGGTGCGTGATTTTCGTATTTTGTGTTTCCTCCCTCTCTGTCTCCCTCTCGCTCTATAGATGCCAGTTTTTAGTGATTCATCATTTCATTGATATTAATTTGGCATGTTGGAAGCCGAATTGCTTGAGATCACTCAGCTCTTGTCTTCCTAAATAAGCACTTGTTTATTTCTCCTGTTGAAATGAGGATATTGATTATCATTACTTGTTCAACATGCTTAAAACATATGAAATTGAAGTAAAAATTGAAGTGAATAGCATCTCGTAAGCTTCATGATTATTGTTTAAAGTATGCCTTGATTGTTAATTTTTCCTGGATTCCTTTATCTTTGCGTTCAGATTGGAACAAATTATAGCATTCATTACGCATAATTATGGCTTCATATCAGTGAAGTTCAATATTTGATTTGAATTTTTTCATACCGATCTTTAGAGTGTTTGTGATGCTTTGATTTTTTAATCAGTAGGTCGAATTCTTCTGGATTCTTTTTGTGAATTATTAGTAATCAACAAGGCGAGCTTCTCTGAGGTCCTCTTACCCCTATTCTAGACCTTGGTTCTTTCCTCTTATCCCTATCTCTATCCTGATGGTTTATTGATATGATTTTAGTTAATCCCTCTAGGTTCCTTATATAGCAACATCGATTATAAGATTGTGCATTCAATTAGCTTGCAAAAATTGATTATCTTTCCTGATGCCCTGATACTTGAAGATCAGTACCATATTCGGACCTGATACATATAAAATACTTGTAGACATGTTCTTAGCATTTGAAGAATTGCATTGTTTTCTTGCAAAGCCTTGGCCTTCATGAAGAAGTTGATGTCATGTTACTCATATTAAGCGTCAAATGTGTCTTGACACTCCATTCCAGTAGTCAAAACTCTAACTTGGTGGCTGAACTTGTCGCTGCCAAACCTGAGGTTTTTCAAACCTTTTAAGTGTGAAAACTTGTGAGGAAAAAGACTGGATGAAGTGTCTATTATTGCATTCAAAGCCAGGTTGTAGACATGTCATACCACTACCATACCACATTGGAAAGCATCTTTATTATTTCATGATAACACAGGAGTCCCTATTCACAGTTCTATTCACCTCTGTTGATTGAAGACACTGTAGAATTGGAGGCATATGGCTTCGATTTTCACTCATCCGTATGCTTTTGTGATTAAAAATTTGTGCATGATGATGAGTTTGGAGTTGTCCTTGGGGAACAGCCGTGCATACTTTTATTCCCCCTATCTTGTGTGTTTGTGTGTGTGTGTGTGTGTATATATATATATATATATATATATATATATAGAGAGAGACAGAACTAAGTCTCGTCTACGTAGTTACGTTCGTCGTCGTCGTTGTTTACGTTTACGGTACGGTACGGTAGTAAACGTA